ATTCCCTAAGTCAGGATTTCCCATGCTTTCACCCCTTACAGGGGCGGGACTTCCACCCCCCAATTTCCCCCACCGGCATTTTTGGCGGGGGAATCGGGGGAGTTGAAGTCCACGCATCTGAAAGTTGCCAAGGCTGAGAAACGCTGTCTTAAAGCATGGAAAGGAAGGGACGTGTCGATGGTCAGGCCAAAGTTTGCACAGGTGCACAAGCGGTGGGGAGCCGAGAGCTTCCTTCTTTGTTTCAGGGCTCGTGAGGTATTGCTCTCTGGGTTAATACAAGCATCATCTCCTCTGTTTCTCCTCCAGAGTATCTAAAATGGTAGGAGGAAACAGGAAATAGCTGGAGTGATTGGCCAGTGGGCTTTTTTTAAACCTTTCGCAATCCCACTCCGGACCTCAGATGGCTTTGCAACGTTATGTGTATCTAGGAGGATACGTGGGAGGCATTTTGCTCCGCAGTAGTGAGCGGTTTCTCTTGGTTTAACTAAGAAAATGAAAATTCTGATTTAATACAGCAGAGAGATATTTTTTGCTCTCTCTTTTACTTAAAATAGTGTTTAGCATTTCACAGTAGGGTTATTGATTCTGTGTTTTGCTTCAGAAATTGGGATTTGTATAAAATAAGTATATCAGTTTTTCTCTATAAATGAGACATGAAATATTTTAGTCTCGAGACATCCTCATTTTAACTTCCTGTTGCCATGGCCACTCATTAGTATTCCATGGAGACCTGGTTGTCATGGAAAAATGTGTAGCTGTACAAGGTTCCCATGGTTACCCTCCATCGTTATGAACCTTTTGATATATCAGCTAGCAGATCTGTTTGGGTAAGCCTGAAATATTACAGTAGTATTTAAAGCTCCTGGCAATTTAGGTGGTGTGTTCAATCTGCAGCTTGGATATTTATCTTTAGACCCAAGTGGAAGTATTTGGGGTCAAAAACAGCCATGCTAAAAATAATGCTTTCAGAAATGGTTTCACAGTGGGGAATTCAGCCTACATTTACATTTTGTACAGGTTTAAATATCTGCTCGAAAGAATGTGTTTTCACATCTTTTCTGAATACTACATTTTGCGCCCCTGAACGTTTCCAAGGCAGCTGCTGGCTTTCGTTCTTGGTTCTTGTGGCCACCTGGCCCTGTACGTATCAGGAGGTGGGGATCGGTATTTAGTTGTGGCAGGGGGGTGAGGGAAGCCCCCAGGCACCCAATGCGGGGTGATAATCTCCCAGAACTTTTCGGAGCAAAACTCCTAAACGATTGGGACGCTGGAAGAGGTGGGGCGGGGGGCGCTGAGCCTCCCCAAACTGAAGACGTGTTCAAGAAGGCCGGAGCTCTTCCCTCCCGATGACTCTCAGGGGTCCTGTATGGCTCTGGGCAGCTTGATGCTGAGGCTGCCTTCGCGTGGCCCGGGTGGGTCTGCCTCTGAGCACCGGGGAGACTGTTTTCCTGTCTCTCTGGTGGTAAAACGAAGTCCCCCCCGCCCGGGCTCTTAGGGTCACAACGGAAGAGGTTCCGGAAACGTTCTAAGTGTGCTGCAGCCGCCATGAATGGGGTGGGCATTGCTTTATGATACGAATGAAAATAAAGCAAAACGCTGATTTAATGGATCCAAATGGGCTCTCCTTCTTAAGAGGCAAATGATCTCTGAGTGCCAAATGCTGGCGATCGCTGTCATTATGTCTCGCTAGCTGGAGGGAGCTGCAATGGTCTCCCTCCGGACCTGGTCCAGAAAGCAGTTCAGATGTAACTCTCTACGGGATTAATATTTGGAATGGACGTTGTGTCTCTGAAAAAAGTTGCATGAATGTAAATGTGATAAAAGGTATTCTGTGGCTGGTACTGATTCATTAACATCCTAGGAGAATGCATTTAAGAACAAAATTGGAAGAACATGCTGGGTTCTTGCTGTTCTCTGGGCTGGATAGTTTTTCTGCAGATTCTTCATTACCGGAGTAGGTAACACCCTCAGGACATGGGAGAGTGGAGTTTGTTGGTTTTATATATATAGTAGCTTGACCTGCCCGTCTTGGTGGATTCCTCCTTGGTGGTTCCTTGATTAAGGCATGGCTTCCTCCCTGTTGCTATCTGGTGCAGTTTCCTGCTTCTCTGGAGGTTGGCTGCTGGAGGAGATGCTGGAGGAGATGTGTTCAAGGCACTTTGTTTTCTTCCTAGGCTTTTGACTGTCTCTTTTAAATGAGACGGAGATATATAAACAGCCAGCAAACTCCGCTGGAGATGTTGCCTAGTCCGGTAATGAAACGTCTGCAGAAAATAACCAAGTCCGGAGAGCACCAAGAAACCCATAACCCCACCCTGAGCTACACCTATTCTCCGCTATTAGAAGGACTCCTAACTTCTTCAGATTGACGATGAGGACATCACATCCTAAACTGCAGGATACAAAGAAGGCATCAAAGCAGGCTGAAAGGGAATAGCCCGGTGAAAAATTTGAGAGATTATTTCTCTGAGGAAATGAATTTCTGCCTTCTGTATCTCATCAGTTAAATAGGCGCCCAGACCAGCTCAGTTGCACATATGTATGAAAAGCAAATGTAGGTGAACACGCTTCTCTAAAATGATCCTGAAGGTTATTTCCACCCCCACCGCATAGATTAGGCCCTTTCTAGGAAAACTGATACAGGTCTGAAATTACTCTACTTATTTGGATGTCTTTTTATAATAGAGACTGGAACATCTTAAGCAGATGCAATTTATGCTTTGATATTTTCTTAATAATCCATGCAATTATCCTCGCTTGACTTTGCCTCCGAATGCCTGAACGTAAAATTTTAAAAAAACTAGTTTAAATTTCTCATCTCTCATCCATAATAGCTTTTGTTAAGAAAGAAAGAAAGAAAGAAAGAAAGAAAGAAAGAAAGAAAGATGTTTTATTTTTCCTTCCTCATTGGAATCTACGCTATACCCGTCGTAATGGTGTGTGGGAATGACCTTGGGAGACGGGCAAAGAGGCGCAGCCAAGGGAACAACGGTCAGATAAGAGGCAGCTGAGCCCGCAGCAGGGATGGGGGTCGGGCAAGGGGCTCAGGAGGGGCCCTCCCGAACTTCCGGGGCTGCAAAGGGGACGGGGGGAGAGAGGTACGTCAGATTCTGTTAATGTAACCTCACAATAAAGTAGAATTAGCTCATCTGGGTGCGTTTCCTGTCTAGTCTACCTCACAAAGCTGGCCATACAGTTTGAGCCTATGGATCCCAGATGGCTGAGTGTTTGGAAGGCCAGGCGTGATGCGTGGCGTCTGTGCCGGGATTTCAAAGACGTTTGTCGTTCTCCAGCTGAGACTCCGTCTCCCGTTTGCTGCTGCTACTGCTCTTCCTCCTGAAACAAGGAGTGGGTGGAAACTGCAGCATTGGGTTTAGCTCAGGAACGGACTAGCAGAAAGGCTGGCGGCCTGAATGCAACAGGCCGATGCCTCCCTTTCTTAAGAGGAGCGCCGGCTGCGAGGCGACCGGTTGCATCCCGTCATTCACAGCCTCCTCAAGGCCAGCATCGTTCAAGGGGCCCAAGTACGCTCTGCATTGCCAAAAAGGACAAGGGAGCATCGTGGGCCTCTGGGCTGCCCATAAGATTTATGAGATGGGCAAGTTGCGCGAGCGGATCCTTGGCACTATTCTGCACTGGAAAAAAACTAAACACGCAGAGTAAGGAAACGACTGAAGTGAAAATGGGAGGGAAGAGAAGAGGGACACGGGGATCCGTTGCAGTCGCCGTAGGAGCTAGACACCCGGATTCTTCTTCGATTTCCCCGGGAGAGGGAGTCTTCCTCTCTCTCTAGAAGCGCTGTTGCTGTTCTCCATTTTAATCTCGGTGAACGTAATATTTATGTATTTATTAGATTTCTGGAGTCACGTGACTTTACTGTTTTTCTTTAACAACAGGTTTTCATTTTTTCCCCCACCCTTTTCGCTAAAGCTCTCTATCTTTACTTTAGGTTTATCATAGATTCTACCCTCCTGGAAACACTAGAAAAGTAAGTACGTGAATAAATAATGCTTCTTTAAACATTGGTATCCCTGCTTTTCTCTCTGCTTTCACTTTTCCGTATTAGATTAGGTGACCAATTTTTAGATACTCGATGAGTGAATGTGTAAGCTAAGCTGAGATGAGCCAAATTGCACGGATGGATTTCTTAAAATATTTGAACTCCCATTCTAATCCTCCGTTTGATACACTTTGAGAAAAAAAAAAATAGCCTAAATCTCCCCTTGAAATCAGCGGTCGGGGCATCTGCAGAGGAGTCGATGGTGTCCAAATGGGAGGAAAGACCTCCTGATTGAAGCCCCCCCCCTTTTATGTTAATGCAATGCACGTAACACATCTTAAAAAGGGCTGAGGTTTCAGGCACACCTGTGGCACCTACCATTTTGGCACTCCCCCCCTTCCCACCCCCCAGATGGCCCTGCCAGTGGGACTGCCTGTAATATGTTTCAGTCTGATTGGATTGCTTTGGTTTTATTGCATTTCTCATGAATTGGTTTTGAAAATGGAACCTTCTGTCTTTTAAATAATGTTTTTAAATGTTCCAAAAGCTGCTGAACTTTCAGGGGGCTTCTATGAATGTGTCCAACCTCTTGGGCAGTCTTGGTGCTTCTGCTCTACCAGAACCATGCAGAAATCTCTCACCCATCCTACTCTTTAAGCTTCTGCTAACTGAAGGGAAATAGAAATGAACAAATTAGAGAGATGTCAGTTGCTATGTGCCTCCAAAAATACAAACTCCATTTCTAAAGTTACCATATAAACCTGCTCTGCAAGTGTCTTGCAGACTGTCAGGTTTCCATTTTTAAAATGCCTGTAGAAATCCTGGAAAGACAGCGTGGGGGGGGGGGGGGGGGTGCAGAACGGAGAAGGGACCCTGCTCAAGGATCTGAGGTCAGAGAAGCCCCTCTTGGGGTGGGCAGCCCCCTTTCAGCACCAGGGAAAGACTGTTTGGAAGATCACACTGATCTTGAGTCTTCAGCCTGTTTCATCCTGGCTCCTGGATAGTTTGGGTTTTCAAAAGCACAACTAGTATTTTTATTTTGCTTTAGTCTCATCATTTTCTTCTCGTGGCTTTCTTAGCTTATATTTTATGTTTTTAATTTCCACACTAGACTTCTGCTGGGGAGTAGTTTAAGAAATGCAATAAATGCATGACATCATTTTAGAGAGAACTGATTCTTTAAAAGATCGTTAGCACTTTGTGTGGTCCCTAATACTCAGCAGTTTGGCTAATTAAGAAAAGAGGTACAGTGAGAGGCAAAGGAAATCATTTTCAATTTGCTGCATTTATGCATCTATTGGATATATTTATATACTGCCCAGCTCCCAGGACTCTGGGTGGCTTGGAATAATGAATGCTGAAAGCATAAATCAGCTGCAACAAAGCTGGAAAAACCAGAACAACATCATAAAAATAATAAATTCCTCCTGGCCAGAGC